AAGGTCTCTGGCTCCGTCAACATGCTCAACCTCACCCGGGGCCTCTTCCAGGGGCTCTCTCGCCAGGTAGGTCAACCCTGCGCTCAGAAACTGAGGAGCCAGTTTGTATTTCAGCGGTGTGCTCTGAGACCAGCATCTCCTGGGCCGTCCTGGAGTTGCTCTTGGGCCACCTGAGGACCAGGCATTCTTTGTCTGTGGGTGCATCAGGTTAGTTAATCCAACTGAAGAGGTAATTCATGAGGGTTATCCTTTAAAAAAAAACTGCATGGGTTTTTGAAGTTTTAAAATTAAGTATTTTTAAAAGCCAGTAATTATAACCTTTTATTATGGAATGAATATGTGCTTGTTTGAAAACTCCAACAACATAAAAATGTTAACTAAAAAGGGAAAGTCCTCTCCTAATCCTGTCCTTTCAGTGGAAACCAGGGTGAAGGCTCCGGGCACCTCCACTCGAGAGCGGTCTCCAGTCCGTTTGATGTCACCTGCATCGGTCGTTCAGGGGGACATCTGAGTCAGCGTGAACTATGCACTTAATAGTTGAGGTTTTCTCTCCACATAGATGGGGCCTCTGGGCCCCTGCCCAACTCACCCCCGCAGCCTGGGCTGGGCTCGCAGTCACACCAGCGGCAGGGAGGAAGGTCTGTCATCGCAGGGGCCCCTCCCCCAGCTCTGCGGGGCTGGCTTGTCCCTTGAAAGAAAGGCCGGGTGGCCCTCAGCAGAGCTGAGTGAGCAGAAAGACAGCCGGGTTCAAGAGGCATTCATGGACCTCCGTTTGCTGCAGACTTTGGCAGGCTCTCTGACAGACTGCGCTGGCTGTTTCTGAATAAAGTGATCCATGGAGTAATTGTAGCAGTCACTGTTTAAAATAGGAAAACTAATTGAAAGAAAAGTTTTGCCTAAAAGAACTTTTTTGATCAGCTGTGTCTTAGTACTATCTAAAAACATCTTTCAAAAGCACTTCTAAATTTAAACTTACTTTTAGAGACTTAATTGTTTGATGTAACTTAAAACATTTGTTTTTAGGTTATATTTATGGTCAGGTAGACCTGTTCTTTTATGTGATGTTTTGTTTTGTGTTAGTACTTCGAATCTTTGGCTACAGTGACTACGTATCATCTCTTCTAAGACGGCATCAGCTATAAGAAGCTGCATTATGCTACTCAAAAAAATGACACCAGTGTAAGCGACACACCACCAATTATAAGACACTCCAATTTATTTATTTATGAATTAGCTCTTCTCTCTTCCAGTTTCAAATATATGCAGAATTAGAATAGTACAGGGTGTACTATCCTCACGGCATGTTAGGTATTTTAATATATTATCTGTAAACCATCTATTGAGTTTACTCACTGTGTCCGGACTTTTATAGCTACCCTCTGTTACGAATCCTCACGGCTGTTACACACCAACAGTTAGCTGCTCATGCACCCCAGCCAACCCCAGTCATTGTGAACCAAATCTCAGACATCAGTTTAACTCACTCACAAGTATTTCATCATGTATCTCTAAAAGATAAGGATTAAAAAGTACCAGACAGTATTACCATCATGCCTAAAAAATTACCAGTAACTCAATATCAAACCTCTAGTCAGTGTTCATAGAAATGTATCCATTTGTCATATTAAAAAAATTTTTTATATAGTTTATTTGAATTAGATGGCAGAAAAGAGCAATACGTTTAAAATCTTTGCTGTGTCTTTTAAATCACTTTGAATCTGGAAGTTCCGTTTTTCTTTTTTGTCTTAGTTTTCTGTTGTTGAAGAAACCAGGTTGTCTGTCCCAGTCTGGTGCTGGATATCAGGATGTTTGACATCCTGTCTCCCTGCATGTCCTGTAAATCGGCAGCTAGAACAGGGGCATGATGAGATTCGAGTTCAGTCTGGGCACGGCATGGCACATGACTGGGAGGTTGATGAAGACAGGAGACCAGAGGCCAAGGCCCTTTCTTCATGCCCCTTGGGGGTGGGGAGGTGGGGTGGGATGATGCTGCCCCCAGTAGTCTCAGACATCAGTTTAACTCACTCACAAGTATTTCATCATGTATCTCTAAAAGATAAGGATTAAAAAGTACCAGACAGTATTACCATCATGCCTAAAAAATTACCAGTAACTCAATATCAAACCTCTAGTCAGTGTTCATAGAAATGTATCCATTTGTCAGATTAAAAAAATTTTTTATATAGTTTATTTGAATTAGATGGCAGAAAAGAGCAATACGTTTAAAATCTTTGCTGTGTCTTTTACATCACTTTGAATCTGGAAGTTCCGTTTTTCTTTTTTCTCTTAGTTTTCTGTTGTTGAAGAAACCAGGTTGTCTGTCCCAGTCTGGTGCTGGATATCAGGATGCTTGACATCCTGTCTCCCTGCATGTCCTGTAAATCCGCAGCTAGAACAGGGGCATGATGAGATTCGAGTTCAGTCTGGGGCACGGCATGGCACATGACTGGGAGGTTGATGAAGACAGGAGACCAGAGGCCAAGGCCCTTTCTTCATGCCCCTTGGGGGTGGGGAGGTGGGGTGGGATGATTCTGCCCCCAGTAGGTCACCATTAGTATAGCCACAGGAAGTTCCTGCTCTTTAAGTTAAAGACTTCAGATTTTTTTGTGTTTTGTGTTTGTTGTTTTTTTTTTAAAGTAAAATCTTACTTTCAATCACGCTTACATAAATTCAGTTAGCTAATAAATTTGATATTACATTACCTGGGCCACGTTTCCTGCTGTAATAATCACCTTCAGTTAATGAAGTCTTAAGAGTTGCTCCATTTTAATCAGCCAGACGGTTCTGCCATGTCAGGGGCAGACCCCATTAGACCAGCCTCACAGACCTAACCTGGTGTTCCCTCCGTTTGGTTGTGCCCAGGAAACCCACCAACAGCTGGCTGATAAGAAGAGTCTCCATGTTGTGGAATTCCGGGAGGAATGTGGCCCTCTGCCCATCGTGGTTGCCTCACCACAGGGGGCCTTGAGAAAGGATCCGGAGCCGGAAGATGAGGTTCCAGACATCAAATTGGACTGGGACGATGTCAAGGCCGAGCAGGGAATGAAGCGCTCTGTGTGGTCAGGTTTAAAGAGAGCTGCCACGTAGGCCTCCCTCCTGCCTGGGCCAGCCTGGCACCGGGTGCTTCCAGCACCTGGGAGAGACTCATCCTCTCACACTTTAGATTGTCTTTTTTTTCAAAAAAAAAAAGGAAAGGCCAACCTTACATTTGTTTACAAATAATAAATAATGCAGATGTAATTGATGGAGCATGTCATACATACCAGTCACTGTGATAGGAACTTTACATAGGTGTCTTAGTTAAAAACTACTTCAAATATTTATTTAAACTAGTAAAAATCAAATGAACTGGGGAGGCAGGGCTCCTTGTCTGACCTGATGAAAAATAATGTGCAGTCGACTTGTAGTTACTTGACTGTAACACACAATTGGAAAGCAGAGGAAAATATGCAAACTTATTTCTTTTTGACTCTAGAAGTTCTCTTTTTAGTAAACCTCTTTGTGTCTGGGTTTTGGTGGTTGCTCTCGGGATTATTAACAGTTCAGCGGTAAAGAATCTGCCAGGAGTGCGGGAGCTGTAGGAGTTGCCGGTTTGATCCCTGGGTTGGGAAGATCCCCTGGAGGAGGGCCTGACGGCCCACTCCAGGATTCTTGCCTGGAGAATCCCAGGCACAGAGGAGCCTTGGCAGGCTACGGTCCACAGGGTGGCACAGAGGTGGACAGGACTGAGGCGACTTAGTGCGCACACACTAGGTATTACATTATACCTACATCACTTACTGGTGATGACCTTGTGCTGGTTTGAGTGAAGTATACAAACCTTGCCTCTCTTCAAATCCCCCTTTCTCCTCTGTTTCTATAATTGTTTTAATTTCCTCTGCCTGCATCGAGAGGTCCCAGCACACAGCAGGTGCTCCGTCGTCACCCAGTCTCTCTGGTCTGAGGACCTTCTGCTGTTGCTCAGCTTCTTGCCCTCCTCACCAGGCCACGTGGGTTTCCTGGGAGCACTGCACTTAGCAGGGAGGACTGCCCACGGGCCAGAACTTGTACCTGCAGATACTTGCTAAACAGCTGGATGCAGGCAGAGCTGAGCAGTGAGACGCACCAGCAGGAAGACTGGACCAAGGTTTGCTAGGGGTAGGGAGGAGAGTGGTCTGGGTGAAGGAAAACAGGAAGGGCATTTTTTGAGGCTTCCCATCCTCATTACATCCAGTGCGAAGAAGATGCAAATCAAATGCCCAATGAAAGTGCACATAAAAATGACTCACGATATGAGGAATGAGAAAGTCATGTCAGAGAATCTTCTGCAAACTTGGTACTAACGAGGCTTTAGTGTTACTGGCAACTGAACAGGGAAAAGAGAGAAAGCATGTCACAGCTTCTTTATAAAGAGAATGACTGAAGTTTCAAAACCTTGAGAAAACTTGGGAAATTCAACTAAGCCTGCAGTTTCTTTTTTGTTGTTGTTGGGGTTGAACATGAGCCTGTGTTAGCATCATGGGTGCTTTATGAAAAAAATGAAACTTTCTCGGTCAACACTTGGTTGCAAATTTTGTTAAACATGTGACAAACTTCCTATCATTTCTTTGTATTTAAAATTTTCAATATAAGCCCCGATCAAATCTTTTGCTCCTAATTTACTGCAACATTTAAAAAATTTTATTTGGCTGTGCTGGGTCTTAGTTGTGGCATGTGGGATCTAGTTACCTGAACAGGGATTGAACCTGGGTCCCCTGCATTGAGAGTGTGAAGTGTTAGTCCCTGGACTACCAGGGAAGTCCCTACTGTAACATTTTAACTGAAGTTTTAAGTAGACTCGGTGAAAGTGGCCTTTTCTGGTACAGTTACTCTGGAATAATAAACAGCTGTCATCTGAACTGCCCTTTGATGCTGCTTCTGAGATTTGGTCTAAGCAAGGATTCCTTAGAAAGCAAGCTGACATGATGGTGTTGCTCACATGGGAGAATAAAAAAAAAAACAACCAAGAAATAGCCCCACGAGAGGATTGACCATGAAGGCACTTTATAAATTTTTGAAGAGTTTATCATGTTTCATCCTGCACATCTATAAATATTTGCTGGGAGCGTTTTATTCTCTATGACAACTAGAATATCCTTGAAGATGTAAGGTATCCATGAAGACCTAGAAACATGCTGCAAGATTGATACTCAAAAGGGCCCATGGACAATAGCAATCGACAGCAACAAAGACTCAGTCCAGGGACCAGTGGGGGATCCTTGTTTTGTGGTCTTTCAGATCACAGTCCCCACTTCCCACTCCACCACCCCCTTCAATAGGAAATGACCCTAGAAAGACTTCTCAACTCTTGGAGGCTAACAAGCCCTTTACCCTGACATGAAGGTACATGAACAGTCAACATAGCACCCACAGAGAATGTCGCTTTTTGTTTTCTTTTTCCACCATCAAGAGCAATTCTGCATCCTCAAATGTTATGCTGGAAGGCAGCCTGATTAGTGACCATTGTCTGTGTTTTCAGGAATGTTCTCTGTTCCTGTAGGAAACCTTGCATCTGATTAAAGAAAACACGGCATGGACCATGTACAGCAGTGTGACTATGATTGAAAACACCTGAAACCAAGAAAAATAACCATTACTGGGGGTGCCTGGTGAGAGGGCAAGTCCTGGGCCTTCCAAGCTGGGCTGGCGGCTTGCATGACACTTGGCCCTGAAGTGTGTGGGCTGCTGTTGCTTCCCATCACTCACACAGTCATCCTTTCCTGCAGAGCCCAGGTGTAGCCCAGAACGCTCTAGGCAGCGACTCCAGGTGACCTATTGCATCTCCTGACCTTAGCATGCAAAGTCAGCCATCTGCCATCACACATCTCCATTTGGTGCCACCCAGTTGGAAACGAGGGCCCTCAAGACCCCTCCAAAGATACTTGCAGGCGAATATCCCCTGCTCTTCATGGAAAACTTCCTTCCTGCACACCAGGGCCACCCGAGTCTGCCAGCTGTGATTCCAGCAGCCTTGGCTCAGAGAATATGACCATGTGGGTTTGGTGGCTCTGCTTAAGATCTCATTGCTGCCTGGACATCCTCAGACCCCCACTAGAATTTTACGCTAAGATCCTGAATTTCACAAGCATAGGCCAGGAAGCCAGGACACAGGAAGTGAGGGACTGGCATGGGGAGAAGGAATTTTGAGCTTTTGCTGAAAGGAGGGGGCTTACTGAGAAAGCTGCTGGAAGCAGAGGCTGAGAAATGTGGCAGACGGTCACACTGTGCCTGGTCAAGGCCCTGACCTGCCATGTTTTCACCGGGGCACCGTCTATCCTATCATCCAGCTCGGAGTGGCTGGCCCTGAGGGCTGCCTGCCCACAAGCAAACATCTGCATCTGGCTTGACCTAGGGTGTGGGGTCAAGAGTTTCCAGCTGCTGGGGTTGGGATGAGGGAGGTACTGATGGGTTCTCTACTGTGGGGGGTGAAGAAACAGTCCCTTGAAGGTGATGGAGGAGGCGGATGACCCTCCCAGGGGAAGGAGGAACAACCAGGTGCTGCCTTGATGTAGTTGGGAGCCATCTTGGGAGATGAACTAATATGGGGGAGGCTCCCACACTGTGGGACAGTTGAGGGGGTCTCAGGGGCCATGAGGGGCCCCTGCTCATGGAACTGGGGAGCGGCTGGGAGCTGAGGGGAGTGTGTGGCTTCCCCGGGGCAGGGGATGGGCCCCTGGGGACGGGCAGACAGGCTTCCAGGCTCTCTGCCCGAGGCCCCTCCCTCTGGGCGCAGGAAGGGCACCCACACTAACCCCTCCCCAGAGCCCAGTGGCACCCCCCGCCCCCGCCGTGGATTTCATTTCAACCTCTGCTGTTCAGTCACTCAGGTGTGTCCGGCTCTGTGACCCCATCGGCTGCAGTACGCCAAGCTGCCTTGTCCTTCACCACCTCCTGTTTGCTCAAGTTTGCGTCCACTGAGTCAGTGATGCTGTCTAACCATCTCATCGTCTGCTGCCCTCTGACCTACGCTTCCCAAATGGTGTGCGGGGGCACAGCTTTGGCACCCAGGATGGTCATGTTGTGGCCTGTCGTCACATTTGACCTCAGGGTTTCCTAGAAGTCTAAGTAAGGAGTAACGTTTCTTCAACTTTTAAACAATGTTCATGGTTAGAAACACATCTGATATGAATTAGCATGCTGATGCAAGCCTACACCAGCACAACCCTGGAAAAGAGTTCTGGGAAACAATACATTCTCATTCCTTGCCATTCTTTTTCTTTTTAATTTATGCCTTTTTAATTGGAGGGTAATTGCTTTACAATATTGCGTTGGTTTCTGCCACACATCAACACGAATCAGCCGTAGGTTATACATATGTCCCCTCTCTCTTGAATTCCCTGTCATTCTGATCCATTTCAGCAACGAGAAAATTAAGTCATGAACTCATGGCCCACTAAGGGGTCTTGTCCCCACAGTTCCTTTTAGAGCTTAGGGACCTGCAGGCAAGGTGCCCCCGGGACACAGTCTCACCCCATCTATTCTCCTAATGGGGTGAGGGAGGTTCCAGCCCCTGTCCTACCCATTGCTACCTGGGAAGTCTTGGGAGGAAGTGGTTTAATAGCTCTCTCATCCTCCAGGGAAACAAAAAGAGTTGCTGTCTCATTTTATAGGTGAGCAAACAGGTTCAGAGGCACAGGAGACTTGCAGAAAGAGGGAGTGTGAAGTTCACACCGTCTTACTGCACAGGTTCTCAGAGCTGTCAGGAAGGAGGCGCCTTCGACAAGAGACAAAGGTCTAATCCCAGAAGCAGACACCCACAGCTGGAGGCCTGGACGTGCTGTGCCTGGAGATGCCTCCCCGCAGCCCCCGAGCCAGGGCCTGGGAGCCACTGGCAGCTCAGTTTCCCGTCCCTGGTCTCAACGCTGTCCCCGCCCTGACCGTGAACTTCCCGGGGAGGACCTCAGGGACAGCCTGGAACCCAGGTGGCCAGACTCTGCTCACACTTGTGCTAAGAGCGTGGGTGACAGAGCAGTCGGCCTGGACCCCAGGCTCCTCCAGTTCCTGGTCACCCCAGGGGGACTTGTGCACGCTCCTGGGGCCTGGTTCCCCATCTGTGAAATGGGTGTGATAACAGCACCTGCATCCTCGGGCTGCTGTGAGGGGAAAATGAGATGGTTCACAGGAGCTCCGACAGTGCAGGCCCTCACGGTCACGCCCCCTCCAGCATCTGCCCCCTGAAAGCTGGCCCAGGCTCAGACCCCTGGCCAGCCCGGGCCCGGGCACTGCAGCACTGACTGCCCGAGGGGATCTGGGCGCATCAGTTCCCTCCTCTGGGGCTTCGTTTTTCCAGAAATCGGGGGGAAGCTTTACATGGTTGAGTATTACGTGAACAAAGAACCTCCAGGGAGGACTCAGGAACCCTTCTGCTCAGAGCCCCCATCAGTGGGCAGCGGGAGCTGTGAACACTGAGGTTGAACTGAGGACTCACCACAGCGGAGATGTTTTCACTGTAGTGTTGGTATATGTCGTCTTGCAGGCCGATAGTGACCAGAGTTTCCAGGGCAGAAGCGCTGAAGTAAAACAGGGCGGCGAGGCAATGGTAGGCTGTGTCCTGCAGGTCAGAAAGGGCCGTCAGAGAGGCGGGGTGCCCGTGCTGCTGTGGGCAGCTGTGGTCCCAGAGGGCCCATTGACCCCACCTGTCCCTGCCTGGCCAGGCCCCTCTGTTACCCCTTCCCCGCCCCAACCTCCGATCCAGCCCCAGCCCCCTCCTCACAAGGACTGATTAACTAACCAGGGCTGCTCACTGGTTTGGGAGGCAGAGTGAGGACCTTAAAGGAGGAGGGGCCTTCACCTGAGATGAGATCTAGTAAGGGCCGGAGAGGGCCTCTTGGATTGTTGGAAACTGGTTTTGGACATGGGCTGTGTTATCCGTGGTCACAGTCCGGAGTTTGGGTGCGGTCTTGGCACCAGTGCAGAGGGAGAAGGTTAGGCCGTGTCCATTGTTTTGCTGTTCATTTTGGGGGGTAGTCTAGTGGGGCTCCAGGTATGGTTAAAAGGAAAAACGTACTAGAACGGGGCTTTGAGTGGTTGTGAATGGAGGGGGTTTCTAAGTCTAGGCTGGAGGCCTTGGGAGAGTATGGGGCCTGGCTAAGGGCCCCACCCCCGTCCAGAGGAGGTCAGGGCAGGTGACCCAGGTATAAGTTCCCCCCTTCACGGGCCTCAGGCAGAATTCATGCGAAGAGCGATCACAGGCCATCCCTCTTCCCCGCCCGGTTCCTTCTGGTGACCCCGCGTTAGAGGCGGGGACGGGATGGGACAGCAGGACTCCCGCCGGCTCCCCGGCCCCTCCTGGAGGTGAAAGTGTGTCCATTGTTTTGTTGTTCATTTTGGGGGGTAGTCTAGTGGGGCTCCAGGTATGGTTAAAAGGAAAAACGTACTAGAACGGGGCTTTGAGTGGTTGTGAATGGAGGCGGTTTCTAAGTCTAGGCTGGAGGCCTTGGGAGAGTACGGGGCCTGGCTAAGGGCCCCACCCCCGTCCAGAGGAGGTCAGGGCAGGTGACCCAGGTGTCAGTTCCCCCCTTCACGGGCCTCAGGCAGAATTCATGCGAAGAGCGATCACAGGCCATCCCTCTTCCCCGCCCAGTTCCTTCCGGTGACCCCGCATTAGAGGCGGGGACGGGAGCGGGGCAGTGAGCACTCCTCACATGGGCAGCAGGACCGCCCCGCCCCTCCCGGAGGTGAAAGCCGGTCCCGCTGGGCAGTGGGAGACGCCGACCGACCCCTGGCAGGTGCGGGAGGGACAGGGAGGGATGTCAGGCTGCTGGTTTTCAGGAGAGGGGAGATCGCAGAGGAGAAGGCAGAGCCCCCGGAGAACCAGGCGGGGACAGTCAGCCTCCTGTGTGGGAGCCCTGGGCTGCTGTGGGCCGCTCGGCCTTGGAGGGCTCCTCACCCAGCACTGGAAAAGCCCGCCCCCCAGGGGAGTGTCCATCACTACCCGCTACCCCCAGACACGCAGGGCGACTCACCAGGGTGATCCAGAAACTCCAGTTCTTATGGGCACCAACAATGTAGAGGCAAAGCAGGAGAGTGGTGACTATGAAGCAGGACACAGACACGAACAGGACCCAGCCCTGGACCAGGGGGACAGGCACCTGGGCCAAGAGGATGAAGATCCACACCAGCCCCCCAGAGACCTGCGGGGGGGAGAAGGGGCGAGGGTCGGACCAGGAGAGCCCAGGCCCAGAGTCTACACTGGAGAGCCGGGCCCTTTACAAATGTTAACCCACTTCATCCTCATACTGAACCATTTGTGAGATGGGCAAACTGAGTCATATACAAGGTAAAAATTCATTAGCAAGAGAAAGGATTTATGCCATCCAGTTTTATCATTAGAAGAGCTAATTCTGAGGTTATATCCTTCCTAACTTTTGGATGGCAGAAAGCAAAGAGGAACTAAAGAGACTCTTGATGAAGGTAAAAGAGGAGAGTGAAAAAGCTGGCTTAAAACTCCACATTCAAAAAACTAAGATCATGGCATCTGGTCCCATCACTTCATGGCAAATAGATGTGGAAACAATGGAAACTGTTGTAGATTTTGTTTTCTTGGGCTCCAAAATCCCGTGACTGCAGCCGTGAAATTAAAAGATGCTTGCTCCTTGGAAGAAAAATTATGACAAACCTGGACAGCATATTAAAAAGCAGAGACATCACTTTGCTGACAAAGGCCCATATAGTCAAAGCTGTGGTCTTCCCAGTCGTCATGTACAGATGTGAGAGCTGGACCATAAAGAAAGCTGAGTGCCAAACAATTGATGCTTTTGAACTGTGCTGCTAGAGAAGACTGTTGAGAGTCTCTTGGACAGAAAGATCCAACCAGTCTATCCTAACGGAGATCAACCCTGAATACTCATTGGAAGGACTGATGCTGAAGCTCCAATATTTTAGCTACCTGATGCAAAGAGCCAACTCATTGGAAAAGACCCTGATGCTGGAAAGATTGAAGTCAGGAGGAGAAGGGGATGACAGAGGATGAGATGGTTGGATGGCATCATTGACTCAATGGACATGAGTTTGAGCAAACTCCGGGAGATGGTGAAGGACAGGGAACCCTTGCGTGTTGCAGTCCATAGGGTCACAGAATCAGACATGACTGAGCAACTGAATAACAGCAAGTATTTTTGATATAAAAATATCCTTTCTTTTATAAAATGGTAGTGACTAGTTGATCCTTTTGGTCTTTACTTTGCAAAATGAATTAGTTACACTATGTTATTAGCATTAAAAAAAATTGGCCCCTAAATGTCCAAGTCCAGGACCCAAGAGGGCCTGGTAGGACAGGCATGAGAGAAGTACTCTCTCCTCGTCATTATCCAGAAGACACCCTGCTTAGTGTCCTCAGGGTTGGGGAGCCCCCAGGATGGTAAGGACAGACGTAGGGGTCGTGACCTCAGTGCCCCAGTCCAGCTCCCCCTGTGGACAAGGCACAACCGCGCTGGGAGTCTCTGCACCTGCCTCCCCTTCTCCTGGTCCATCTCCATTCCAGTGAAGTCACCTCAGCCTCTCCCAGCATCCCTAGCCAGAAAAGGCCTGGGCTGGGACACAGGTGGATACAGCTTTGCAGTCAGAGGGTCCAAGGAGCTGCAGAGCTTGGCACCATCCTCCTGAGGGTCTGCGGGCTGAGGATGGGAACTCTTGCCCCTGTCGTTATCCAAGACACTCTGCTTGGTGTCCTTAGGGTCAGTGAGCTCCAGGAGCATATGGACAGATGTAGAGGTCATGACCTCAGATCCACAAAGCCAGGGGCTTGTAGACGGGCTTGCCCTCGTTTGGACGGACCTTCTTCTCTCCCTGTGCCCACTGGCTTTACCCAGCAGGATACAGAAGAATAAGGAGGTTTCATGAAAAATATGAATGTCAGCCATAAGAGACAAAAATCCTTGGACGCTTAGATCAGACAGGAGTGGGTTCTGTGCAAGAAAAACAGGAGATCTGGTGGGAGGCACCCAGGGGGCCAGCCGTGCGGCGAGCTCACAACAGCGCGCGTGCCGCAGTGAGCAGAGCGCCCTCAGCCAACGGCACTGCTCTGCAGGGCCTCAGGTTCTCTCTTTGGGAATGGGTGTGGTTGTCAGTTTTACCCTTTTTCTGCCCGTGTGGTTGAGAATTCTCTTCTGATTCATACACATTAGCCAGGTGGGAGATAAACGCCAGTCCCTTTCCTGTGGACGCAGGCTGAGAACTAGTCTCAGAGAGCCCCGTGCGTGCCAGGGGCATGGGCAGCCTTGCATCAGGCAGCGGACAGACCCCGCCTGGCCTGCAGTGCAGGAGAGGGTGCTCTCAGAGTGGGCTTCCAGGTCAGCTGAGTACGGAGGACTCAGCCGTACCGGCACCCGCACCAAAGGGGCACCATGAACGGAGACCACGGAGGGGCTGGTCTGTCTTAGGGAGGAGTCCTCAGACGTGAGAGCTGGTTGGGTGGTCCCCTTCTGGCCAGGTCCCTCGATCAGCAGTGTCTGGCTTATCAGCAGGCAGCTGGAGGACATGATGGAGGCTGTGGGAGATTGGCGGCAAGGTTTTGTGCCAGCAGGTGCCCTCGCCCTGAAACAGTGCGCTGCCAGACAGTGATAAACTGACACGATGACAAATCATGTTTGAAAAGTTAAACCAGGCCCAGTGGTAACTGCTCCTATGCCTTCTGGCAGATATAGCAATTTGCTATTAGTATGTGCTCAGAATTCACAAAGCTTTCCCCAGGGTCCTGGCACCATGCTGGTGCCACCCTGAAGGCACAAGACAGGAAGGGCAGCCACAGCATCCTCTGCTCCTTGGTCACCACCCCTGGTCAGGCTGGCCAGAGCAGCTCCCAGCAGAGGACATACCCACTTCTGCCCTCCGTTCCCCTCTTTGGTGAGAAGAGTCTTTGGGACGCCCCTATTGAGATAGGCTATCTAGTGGTACTTGACCCCAGAGACAAGTTAAATGTTCCCTCAACAGCCTCACCCACTCCCAAATCTACTCAATGTCCTGCCTGAGAAGGGCATCTAAAGAAAAGGTGGATCATCCTTAATGCCCCTGCCCCCTCCCCGCTTGCCTCCTTTCAGCACACACTAGCCAGGTGATCTCAGACCATGCATTTGAGGTATTAATAAATTAATAATTGCACCTGATTGCTACTGAACAGTAACTGTGTGCATCACTTTGTTTATATGACATTCACTTATTCCTCACAGCATCCCACAGGTTTATACTGTCATGTCCCCATTTTATTGATGCAAAAACTGAGGCACAGTTGCCTGCTCACATCCTCACAGCTGCTGAGTGCCAACTTCGACAGGCTGGCTGTGGAGCCCAGGTCAGGACCTCTGTGTGTGTGTGACAGTCACACAGCGTGACGCAAGAGCAGTTCACCATGACACCGCCCTCGTATGTAGGGTCGGCTTGAGAAATGGCCAGAGAAGTCACACTGGTGGAGAGGAGGCTGGCTGCCCCATGAGCCTTGCTCCTGCTCCCAGCGGTCCTGCGGCCCTGGGGCTGGTGAACTGCAGAGGAATTGCCCCTCCCCCAGCCCCCCCTGTTTCAGCATGCCCTGTTCTGTGACCCCACTTCTGGCAACAGCTGCGTGGTGTGTGTGGCTCACAGACAGGCTTACACCACCGGGTTGTGCCTGCCTTCCTCTTCCTGTGACGACCCTGCAGCCTTCAGAGGTCAGGGGCTCCAGGGTAGGGGTGCAGACCTGGGGGAGAGCGGCCACGCTGCACCCAAGATAGCACTCTTCCCTGCTCCTGGGCGGTGTCCTGGTCTTGGGAGGGGAGTGGTGTCCACCCTGCTGACCTGGAGGCTGAAGGTCTGGCATCTGCAACTCCCAGGCTATTGGGAAGTCAGGTATGGGAATACAGACTGGGAGTAGAAGCAGCAACTCACTGGACCACAGATTTAAAAAACTGATCAAGCCTTTCACACCCGTTGGACTAGAAGAAAATTACGAAGTCTGACTCTACCAAGTGAGGCAAGGTCTGGGAACAATGGAGACTTTGATAAGCTGCTGGTGGGAGTCAGGAGGGTTATACAGTATGGTCAACTCACTGGACCACAGATTTAAAAAACTGATCAAGCCTTTCACACCCGTTGGACTAGAAGAAAATTACGAAGTCTGACTCTACCAAGTGAGGCAAGGTCTGGGAACAACGGAGACTTTGATAAGCTGCTGGTGGGAGTCGGGAGGGTTATACAGTATGGGACCCTTCTTTCTAAAAGAATGCAAAGCAAGCCAGAGTCTTAGAAGGGACCTGAGCAAGCAAGGGTCCTGAGCTTAATTAATATTTATTAGCTTCCTGGTAACGCCACTCCTGGGCTGTGTAAGGTAGAATAACCCTTTTGAACAGTGATGTGCTAACATCTGGGAATAGGAGGATGTGCAACCCCTATGACCCAGCAAGTCAAATCTCTGTGTGTACCTGAAAGAAATTCCCAACATACAAGTAAAGGGAATACAAGAATGTTCTTTGGCAGTGCGTCTGCAATATCAAAATGAAGCAGATTGGAAATCGCCCAAATGCCCATCAACAGAAGATGGATAAAGAGTGTCAAGATGTATTAATCTCAGAACAAGGCTGCATGAAAAGCCTGTTGCAGAAGGATACGTACAGGGCAACAAAACTTTCATAAAGTGAGAAAACATAAAACCACACCATGTGTAGTCATAGGTAGTTAGGGGTGCAGTCAAGTTTTAACCCTGAACACACATTCAGCCCAGGGCTGGTTCTGTAGCTGGAAGGAGAAGAGACAGTAATAAGCAGAAGATCCAGGGGGCTTGGATGTCATCTGAAAGTTATATTTCCTTAATACTGAGAGGAACATTAAGATTTGACAAAGTTGAGTGATAATTACATGGGTATTCATTAAAGTATTATATATAGTGTAGTGTTAGTCACTCAGTCGTGTCCGATCTTTGCAACCCCATGGACTGTAGCCCACCAGGCTTCTCTTTCCATGGAATTCTCCAGGCAAGAATACTGGAGTGGCTTACCATTTCCTTCTCCAAAAATATCATATATACTTTTCTGTAATATTTGAAATAGTTCTTAAGTTTTAAGAGGCTGAAGTGGAGGGGTCTCCCTGGTGGCTCAGTGGTAAAGAATCCCCCTGCCAATACAGGAGAGGCCAGTTTGATCCCTGGCCTGGGAAGATCCCCCGTGGCCCAGCGCACTTAAGTCCGTGGGCCACTGTTGAGCCTGTGCTCCGGGGCCCGTGCGGCTGAGGCCCATGCACCCTCGAGCCTGTGCTCTGCGAGGAGAGAAGGTGCCCACACCCCACAGGGGGAGCAAGCCCACTCTCCATAACTAGAGAGAAGCCTGCACAGCAACGACGGCCCAGCACAGCCAAAGTGAATAAATTATTTAAAGAAGCAAATTGACGGGGAATTGGCACAACAGGAAATGAACCATTTCACCTTGACCAGTTCAGTGGTATTTAATACATTCATGATGTGCAGTCCACCATCTCTAGCTCCAAAACATTTTATCACCCCAAAAGGAAACACCATGCCCATTAAACTGCTCCCCATTTCTCTCTCTTCTCAGGCCCTAGGAAACCACTAATTTGTGTTCTGTGTCTACAGATTTATCTATTCTGTGCCTTTCATGTAAATGGGATCCCGTACCATGTGACCTTTTGTGTCTGGCTTCTCAGCATAGCATTTTCAGATTTATTAACTCTGTAGTATGGATCAGTGCTTCATTCCTTTCTATGGCTGAGTAATATTCCAATGCATGGAATATCACAATTTCTTTATTAATTCACCCACTGATGGGACACTTGGGCTATTCCTATCTGTTAGTTATTGTGAATGGAGCTGCTATAAACATGCTTGTTTATGAACCTATTCAGGTCTCTGTATTCAATTCTTTTGGTCTTAAATGTAGGTTTGGAATTGCTGGGTCATGTGGTAATTATTATTAGTTTTTAAAATTTTAATTAAATATTTTAATTTCATGTTGGAGGATGGTTGATTAACAAAGTTGTGTTAGTTTCAAGTGTACAGCAAAGTGATTCATCTATACATACACATGTACCTGTTCTTTTTCAAATTCTTTTCCAACTGAGGTTATTAAATATATTGAGCACAGTTCCCTGTGCTATACAGTAGGTCCTTGTTGGTTATCTATTTAAAATATAGCAGTGTGTACATGTCAATCCCAAACTTCCAATCTATCCCTGCCCCCCACCTGTCCCCCGGGTAGCCGTATTGTATTCTCTGTGAGTCTGTTTCTGTTATAAATAAGTTCATTTGTATAATTTTTAAAAGACTTGCATATAAGCAATATCATATGATATCTGTCTGACTTACTTCGCTTAGTATGATAATCTCCAGATCCACTGATGTTGCTGCAATTGGCATTATTTCATTCTCTTAAATGGCTGAGTAATATTCCATTGCATGTATGTGCCACATCTTCTTTATGGATTCATCTGTCAATGGACATGTAGATTGCTTTCATTTCTTGGCTATATTAAACTGTGCTGCAAAGAACACTGGGGTGGATATTTCCTTTCAGACCGTGTTTTTCTCCAGATATACACCCAGGAGTGGGATTGCAGTATCATATGGTAGCTTTATTTTAATGTTTTAAGGAATCTCCATACTACTGTTCTCTATAGTGGTTGTACCGATTTACATTTCCACCAACAGTGTAGGACATGTTTCCTTCTCTCCACACCCTCTCCATTATTGTCGTAGATTTTTGTGATGACGGCTGGTAATTATTTCTGAGAAATTACCAAACTGTATTTCATAGCAGTTGAACAAGTTTACATTCCCACCAGCAGGGTCTGAGGGTCCCAATCTCTCCACATCCTAGCCAGTACTTATTTTCCAGTTTTTTGACAACAGTAGTCCTAATTTCATGTGAAGTAGTAGCTCGTTGTTGTTTTTAACATCTTACTAATTTAATTTTCATCGCTGTGCAGGCTTTCTCTGGTTGCGGACAGCGGGGCCCCTCTCCACTTGCCGTGCGCAGGCTTCTCACTGCAGGGGTTTCTCTAGTTGAGGAGCACGGCTCCAGGGCCTGCGGGCTCAGTAGTTGTTGCACAGCGGGTCAGTAGTCTCGAGGCTTTGATTTCACTTTCCTAATGATTAATGATGATGAGTATCTTTTCACATGCTCATTGACCATTTGCATGTCTTCTTTGGAGTACTGTGTATTCAAGTCTTTTGTCCATTTTCTTAACTGGGTTGTGTATGTTTTGTTGTTGAAACAGTTCATAATTAAAAAAACATAAACAACCCTCCCAGATTGGCCAGCTGCTTCTTAGGCCCTTTAGTTCTCTACTCTTTCCACACATCAAAACACATACAGCTTTGTATGTGCACAACTTGTACAGACGAAAATATGAAGAATGGGCATCTGCTTTCTTTTCTGCCCTCCCAGGCACCCTATGAGCCCATCCCCAATTCAAGGAGGAAGTAAAAAATTTGGGATGACACTGAGGCATCCACGGCCCTCCGGAAGTGGGAGGGGTGTGAGCCAGAAAGCAGGGGAGGAGAAAAAAATTCCTTCTAAGACAGGTGTGAAAGGAGTATTTGGGGCAAAGGAGACATTTCTCCTAGAAGCCCCTACTATCTGCAGGCATCAAAATGACTCATTTCAGGTAGCCCATAGATCTGAGATTTCCTACACCTGGTTTTCTACTTTTACTTGTTGATTTAGGGGGGATCCTCCTCATCACCAAAGACTCCCCCCAGCAGGCTGGGCTCGTCCTTCACTCTGGGGCACTCCACCCACTAAGCGGTGATAACAAAGGAGGCAGATGGCGCTGGGAGGCTGTCCCTTCTGTGACGCCAGGATCCCCCTACCCCAGCACACACACCTGCCGCCACCTGCGCCAGACCTTGTCCGGGTGCACCAGAGTCTTCTGCATGAAGCCCAGCTAACACACACTCTCGTGACTCTTGTTATAATGCTCCCCAAACAGTTACAAAGGTAGATCAAGCCACTCATCAGGGCAACCTACGAGATACTAGCAAGTCCTTTTGTTGCTTAAAAAATCTCTCTGCCCCACCACACCTCACCTTTAGCCAGCGTCCTTTGTATATACAGTAGGCTCTGAAGGAACCACCCATTCACTGCTTATTCCCTGGTCATAGGTTCTACAGGATCATTTCCAGAAACCCAGCCTCGAGCAAGCACAGGCTCAGTGCTGAGTGAAAGCACAGAGATGAGTGGTCTGGGAAGGAATATTCTAGTGGATACCAGTCCTTTCCACTCTGGGCCTGAGTGTCCCCACCTACAAATGGTGTGGCTAGGTCTAGAGGTGTCCAGGGTTTCTCCTAGATGCCAGTTCCTCCACAGGGGTGCAACCAGGCTACCATTCTGCCATCTCCCCCAACCCTCCATGGAAGACAGAACCTGCTCCCTTTTCTGTTCACATCTCCTTGACAAGAAGCTGGGGACCCGTTTCTAAACAGATTTGGACGTTTTCTTTTCCAACAGACTCTCCAGGTGGCCATTTCTCCGGTGGGGGTGCAGGAAATGCCTCTCATAACTTCTGGCGTTAAAGCCACAGAAGAAATACAGCCTGCCTGCCACCCCACACCCACCCCCGCCTCCCTGCACCGCCTTTAGGCGAGGCCCTGGGAAGTTTAGGCTGAGTCCCCCAGGGAGCACTTCACAGGAGCCCAGAGCAGGAAGCGCTTTCCTGAAGCCTCGAAGCCTCCGGTTGAGGCTGTGCGGCTCCAGTGTAAGGAGGGACCAACCGCAGGGGCAGGAGTCCTTGGATGCTCAAGGTCAGCCAAGTCAGGGCCCGACTCTCACAGGCCCCTCTCCCTCCCTCCATCCCTCACACTGGGCACAATGACTGTGGCGAGCAACTGACGGCCGGTTTTATCATTTCCAGATTGCCACAATTCGTTCACTCACCAGAAACGTCCAAGAGAAAATAATCCGGATTCGGTTGCTCCTACAACACCAACCCTATCTCCACACCTCTTTTGGTAATACTTAATTTTTCTTTTGCCAATTTTTATATTTTTTAAACAAAATCCTAACCATGGAGAGAAATGGGCGCCTCTACAAGGACGTCGATCGCCAAGAAGCCCATGGGAAGCAAGTTGGGAGCGAAGCTTTGGTACCGGCGCGCTGCCGGTGGACCCGGGCCAGCTTCCGACCACTGAGCCGTGTGAATTTGGTTTCTCCACCTAAGCCCCGGTGACGGTCTCCCCGTCGTCGTCGGCTAGAAGACGCCGGAAGACTGCATGTGGCGGCGGGGAAGAGACAGTCCTCACCGGCCTTTTCTATCCCACCCAGTGGTCCCGGACCAGTGCGGCTCCGGGACGGGCGGGCGGGCAGAGCGCGCGGCACTGCCCACCCCGTCCCACCCCGCCCTCCCTGGCGCATAGCTACTCACAAACTCGAAGACGAAGAGCAGGTCGGGGAAGGTGGTGAAGACCGCGGAACCCCTGGGCAGCCAGTGGCCGCCCGAAGCCGTTCCGGTGGCCATGCAGCCGCGCGGGTGTCCGCCTCGGAATCAGAGGCGCGCGTCTCTGGCTCCGCGCTGACCGAGCACGTGCTCGGGGAGCCCGGTGACCCGGGTGCAGTCGCGCGGGTTGAGGCCGGGATTTCGGGGCCAAGGAAAGAGGAGCCCCAGGCTGCTGCCGGCGGGGCCCTGCCACCGCCCTAGACCGTCGGGCTTCGCCCTGAACCACCCGGGAATAAGGGCGGGGACTTGGCTCCTGCGTCCCAGGTCTGCTCTCCACCTCCAAACCCGAGCCTAACAAAACCACTTTGGCTAGGCGCTTTGCACACTTTGATTCTTCGCAAGTGATGATCATCATCCCTTAAGAAATCATCTCTGTCAGAAAGCAGCACTCAAAACTCCTTGTCTTCGCACTCCTCCAGTCACCATCGCTCCAGCTGTTCTTAAGGTGGACTTCTTTCCTCTTTCTGCTGGGTGAGTTAGTACTTGGGACCTCTGGTTCCAGGCTCCGGGGTGGGGGGGGGGAGGGGCTAGTTCCCAGGCCTGCCCACAGCTGCAGGGGTGGTGCTGAGACTCGCTCTGGCTTCCCATCCCCTTTCTCTGAGCCCTAGGAGCCAGCACTGGGAACCCTGCCCCTCGTGGGTGGTCCCCGCACTCTTGCTGGAGCTGATGTGCAATGGATTAAGGGCAGCCACAGTGGCCTTGAACCTTGGAGCAGGGAGGGAGCCAGCACTGCCCAGCGCTTGCTAAGTGCCCAGCACCCCATAGGTTCTTTGTTCACATGACCTCATTTGATGCTGGGATGAGAGTGCAGGGAGACCCGAGACCACCCACCAGCCCAGCCTGGCTTGGGCTCGGGGTTCAGGGAGCTTGTGGAAGAAGGGACCCTTGCGGAGTGAGCAGTGGTTACCTGGAGAGAGGAGGCAGCCTTCCCTACGGAGGAGCAGCAGGCACGGAGCCCTGGAGGACGGTCAGGCCCTGCTCCTCACGCTGCGAGGCTGCCGGATAAATATGGGAATCCTGAGGGGGTCAGAGCCACTCTGCCGGGCGGGGGAAGAGCCGAGGCATCCAGGGCAGAAGGAAACAGGCACAGATGGGTTCTGGGAGAGGACAGGGAGGACAGCCTGAGCAAGAAAAGGGGGGCAAGGTGCGCCTGGAGAGTCCTGCAGGCTGGAAAGGCTCTGGGGAGCAGAGTGGCTCTTGGGGCAGAGCTGGAAAGGCCAAGGGCAGGCTGGGCTCAGGAGGAAAGAGGCAAAATTTTGTATATGTTGTTGTTGTTCAGTCGCTAAGTTGTGTCCAACTGTTTGCAACTCCAGGGACTACAGCACGCCAGGCCTCCCTGTCCCTCACCATCTCCCAGAGATTGCCAAGTTCCTGTTCGCTGAATAGGTGATGCATCCAACCATCTCATCCTCTGTCGCTCTCTTATGGATGTTAATGAGCCTCATCATAAAATCAGAACTTTAAAAATTGGTGTTAGTTGCCTCGAAGATAAACCTAAAGAAACACAGGCCATGGCGGTTTGAATTCTGGATGTAGAAAAAGAAAAACTTAAGAGTTTTCTCCTCTTCTCATATAAGATTAAAAATACTTCCCCTTTTTTTGTCTTTAAAAGTAACTACATCAAACTAAATAGTATAAAGCTTATCTCAACTTAGTCTTGTCCCCCCATTCAGCCCTGAGACCAATCTCAATCTCTCTGTCCCAAAGAGGGGCGGGACCCTATAGCCCTGCAGCAGAATTTGCCATCTGCCCAGCAAGTTGCACCTGGAATCTGACCCAAATCAAAGGCGGATCTGAGCTTACCAGGTAGCCCTGGTGGTAAAGAACCTGCCTGCCAGGGCAGGAGACACAGGAGATGAGGATTCGATTCCTGGGTTGGAAAGTTCCTCTGGAGAAGTGGCAACCCACTCCAGTATTCTTGCCTGAAAAATCTCATGGACAGAGGAGCCTGGTGGGCTACAGTCCATGGGGCTGCAAAGGGTGGGACTGAAGCGGCTGAAGCGACTTAGCACCCAATGCATGGAGCACCATGCTTCCAAAGGATGATGCGTGTACATCACCACTGCCTTACCTTGAACTCTTAAAAGGGGTCCTCATGACCTTGCAATCCTAGGGAAGGAAACAGTTTCAAAAAGGAACTAGAATTTTCATCAGCAGATAAAATCTCTCAGCCCAGAAGAAACCCACCCTTGGTGGATTCATTCCTCCGGGGTTCACCCCATTGTGCATAGAGTATCATCGGCTAGTACCTTGTCAGGATGTGAACCAAGGCCACATCCTCCCCACCCTGGCCCTTAGGGGGCAGTGGGCTTACTCTTCCCTTCCCTCCCCACCTCAGTCACCCAGCTAGCCTGCTGTGGACATTCCATCCTGGGTGGCTTCCTGGGACTGTGGGGTGAATGAGGTCCACCCAGCTCAAACAGTACAGAGGCAGCAGCCCCTTCGGGTTTGGACTGGGGTCAGCCATGGTCACTGGGGTTCTGAGCAGCTGCCTTCAGCCCAGAAGGTTCCATTTCTTCCCCAAGAAAAGCTCAGGCCTCGGGTCCAGCACCTCCAGCTCAGAGGGCCTGGGTCCTCTCACCCTCCGCACACCTGCATCCAGCTAGTGTCTGAGTCCTGGCCCAGGGAGGTGGTGAGGGCAAGCATGACCACCCGCGCCTCTCCTGACCCCTGGGCTCCCCACCCCCACGTTCTCCTCACTCTTTTCCTGGCCCTCCATCTGCAGGAGCCCCTCCCTGCCCCCAGGCCCCTCCTGCAAACCAGTCGAGGCCCAGCTCAGTCAATCTTTCTGTGCCTCTCTGGATCTCTCTTGTAGTTCATGCAATAGGTTTGCATCTGTCTTCCCATGACACTGTGTGGGAGTGCGCGTACTTAGTTGTGCAAACAATGAGGGATCCTTTTTGCTCAGGTAATTCCTTGGGCTCACTGTTTTACACATGTTCTCTCATTAATCGCTCTACAATTCTACTTGGAACACAATTTTTAAATGGTGGTAAAATCACTCAATACTCACCATCTTCACCACTTTTACGTGCACAGTTCAGCGCAGTCCATTCACGCTGTTTGCAGCCATCAGCACGATCCATCCCTGTACTCGCTTCCTCTTGGGAAACTGCATCTCCTTACCTACTAAGCAATAAATCCCCGTTCTCTCCCCTCAGTCCTGGCAATCACTGTTGTATTTACTGTTTCTAACTTTGATTATTCTAAGTACATCATACAAATAGAATCAGGCAATATTTATCCCTGTCCATTGGACTTACTTCCCTTTGCATAATGTCCTTTAAGTTCATTTGTGCTATTACTTGTATCAGAATTTCCTTCCGTTTTAAGACTGAATAGTATTTCATCATACACACAGACCACATTTTCCTTGTCTTCTTATCTTTAGATTGAGACTTCAGTTGTGCTATGAATAGTTCTGTTACAAGCGTGGGTGTACAAATATTTTTGTGAGACCCTGATTTCAATTCTCTTAGGAATATACCAAGAAGAGAACTTGCTAGGTTGTATGGTCATTCTAATTTTAATTGTTTCAAGAACCCACCATATTGTTTTCCATAGCAGCTGAACTATTTTACATTCCCATCTACAATGTGTAAGGGTTTCAATTTCTTCACATCTTTGCCAACACTTTTTATTTTCTGCTTTTTAAAAAAATATTAGCCATTCTATTGGATGTGAGGTGGTCTCTCTTCATAATTTTCATTTGCATTTTCTTAATGAAAATTATGTTGAGCATCTTTTTATGTGCTTATTAGCCATTTATACATCTCCTTGGATAATGTCTATTCAAGTCCTTTGTTCTTTTTCTTTTTTTGGCTGCACTGCATGGTAGGTGGGATCTTAGTTCCCCAATCAGGGATAGGATCCACACCCCCTGCAGTGGAAGTGCAGAGTCTTAACCACTGGACCACCAGGGAAGTCTCTTTATTCATTTTTTTTTTTCTTTATTTTTTTTCTTTATTCATTTTTGAATCAACTTGTTTGCTTTTTCATAGTCAAGTTTCCACAGGCCTGTATATTCTGGATACTAATACCTTGTCATTTATATGATTTGCAGACATTTCCCACTGTTCTTTAGGTTGCCTTTAGACTCTGTGAATAGAGTTGCTTGATGGACAAATATGAGAAACTTTCATCAAATCCAATTTGTGTTTTTTCCTTTTAATACTTGTGCCTTTGGTTCCTATCTAAGACTTCATTCCCAAATCCTTGTTTGATGCTTCTGGCATTTGTTTTCTTCTAAGAGGTTTATGTTTTACATTTAGATTCCAGAATATATAGGACACTTACCACTATGGTCCAGAAGACAAGTTTCAGTCAGTATAAAAGGATTCAAGTCATACAAAGTGTATTTCTGATCAAATGTTTTAAATTAGAAATCAATAATATCTGAAAAATCAAAATATTTTCCAAATACTGTAAATAACACAAGGATGTGAGAAAATTAAATGGGGCAAATTAGAAAATATTTCGGATTAAGTAGACTATAAAGCTGGCCTTCCCTGGTGGTTCAGATGGTAAAGAATCTGCCTACAATGTGGGAGACCTGGGTTCGATCCTCGGGTTGGGAAGATCCCCTGGAGGAGGGCATGGCAACCCACTCCAGTATTCTTGCCTGGAGAATCCCCATGGACAGTGGAGCCTGGGAGGCTATAGAGTTGGACACGACTGAGTGACTCAGCACAGCACACAGCAGAGACTAGAAAGCTACAGAAATTGAGATGTATGGTGTTGGCATCAATAGAGACACATAGATCAAAGGAAGAGAATGCAGTGTATAAAAATACATCCACCAAATGTGATCAGTTGAGTTTCAACAAAGATATAAAGTCGATTCAGTGAAAAAAAGATATAACCAACAGTTTTGGAATAGTTGGATCAGTTCAGTTCAGTCGCTCAGTCCTCTCCGACTCTTTGTGACCCCTTGGACTGCAGCATGTCAGGCTTCCCTGTCAATCACCAACTCCCAGGGCTTGCTCAAACTCTTGTCCATTGAGTCGATGATGCCATCCAGCCATCTC